CTTTCAAGCCCCTAGATCCCCAGCAGGCCGGAGCCTGTAGCCTTTTCAGGCTGTAGCCTTTTCAGGCTGTAGCCTTTTCAGGCTGTAACCTTTTCAGGCTGAAGCCTTTTCAGCTGGCTTTCTTTCAAGCCCCTAGATCCCCAGCAGGCCGGAGCCTGTAGCCTTTTCAGGCTGTAGCCTTTTCAGGCTGTAGCCTTTTCAGGCTGTAACCTTTTCAGGCTGTAGCGTTAACAGGCCTTTTCAGCTGGCTTTCTTTGTAGCCTTTTAGCAGGACGGAGGATGTAGCCTTTTCAGGCTGTAGCCTTTTCAGGCTGTAACCTTTTCAGGCTGAAGCCTTTTCAGGCTGGCTTTCTTTCAAGCCCCTAGATCCCCAGCAGGCCGGAGCCTGTAGCCTTTTCAGGCTGTAGCCTTTTCAGGCTGTAACCTTTTCAGGCTGAAGCCTTTTCAGGCTGGCTTTCTTTCAAGCCCCTAGAACCGTAGCAGGACGGAGGATGTAGCCTTTTCAGGCTAGCCTTTTCAGCCTTTTCAGGCGTTAACAGGCCTTTTCAGCTGTAGCCTTTTCAGGCTGAAGCCTTTTCAGCTGGCCCCTAGATCCCCAGCAGGCCGGAGCCTGTAGCCTTTTCAGGCTGTAGCCTTTTCAGGCTGTAGCCTTTTCAGGCTGTACCTCAGGCTTTCTTTCAAGCCCCTAGATCCCCAGCAGGCCGGAGCCTGTAGCCTTTTCAGGCTGTAGCCTTTTCAGGCTGTAACCTTTTCAGGCTGTAGCGTTAACAGGCCTTTTCAGCTGTAGCCTTTTCAGGCTGAAGCCTTTTCAGCTGGCTTTCTTTCAAGCCCCTAGATCCCCAGCAGGCCGGAGCCTGTAGCCTTTTCAGGCTGTAGCCTTTTCAGGCTGTAACCTTTTCAGGCTGAAGCCTTTTCAGGCTGGCTTTCTTTCAAGCCCCTAGATCCCCAGCAGGCCGGAGCCTGTAGCCTTTTCAGGCTGTAGCCTTTTCAGGCTGTAACCTTTTCAGGCTGAAGCCTTCAGGATGTAGCCTTTTCAGGGTAGCCTTTATCAGGCTTTCTTTCAAGCCCCTAGAATCCCCAAGCAGGCCGAGCCTGTAGGCTTTCAGGCTGGTGCCTTTTCAAGGCTGAACCGTTTCAGGCTGTAGCGTTTAAACAGGCCTTTTCAGGCTGTAGCCTTTTCAGGCTGAAGCCTTTTCAGGCTGGCTTTCTTTCAAGCCCCTAGATCCCCAGCAGGCCGGAGCCTGTAGCCTTTTCAGGCTGTAGCCTTTTCAGGCTGTAACCTTTTCAGGCTGAAGCCTTTTCAGGCTGGCTTTCTTTCAAGCCCCTAGAACCGTAGCAGGACGGAGGATGTAGCCTTTTCAGGCTGTAACCTTTTCAGGCTGAAGCCTTTTCAGCTGGCTTTCTTTCAAGCCCCTAGATCCCCAGCAGGCCGGAGCCTGTAGCCTTTTCAGGCTGTAGCCTTTTCAGGCTGGCTTTCTTTCAAGCCCCTAGAACCGTAGCAGGACGGAGGATGTAGCCTTTTCAGGCTGTAGCCTTTTCAGGCTGTAACCTTTTCAGGCTGAAGCCTTTTCAGCTGGCTTTCTTTCAAGCCCCTAGAACCGTAGCAGGACGGAGGATGTAGCCTTTTCAGGCTGTAGCCTTTTCAGGCTGTAACCTTTTCAGGCTGAAGCCTTTTCAGGCTGGCTTTCTTTAGAACCGTAGCAGGACGGAGGATGTAGCCTTTTCAGGCTGTAGCCTTTTCAGGCTGTAACCTTTTCAGGCTGAAGCCTTTTCAGCTGGCTTTCTTTCAAGCCCCTAGAACCGTAGCAGGATGTAGCCTTTTCAGGCTGTAGCCTTTTCAGGCTGTAACCTTTTCAGGCTGAAGCCTTTTCAGCTGGCTTTCTTTCAAGCCCCTAGAACCGTAGCAGGACGGAGGATGTAGCCTTTTCAGGCTGTAGCCTTTTCAGGCTGTAGCCTTTTCAGGCTGTAACCTTTTCAGCTGGCTTTCTTTCAAGCCCCTAGAACCGTAGGACGGAGGATGTAGCCTTTTCAGGCTGTAGCCTTTTCAGGCTGTAACCTTTTCAGGCTGAAGCCTTTTCAGCTGGCTTTCTTTCAAGCCCCTAGAACCGTAGCAGGACGGAGGATGTAGCCTTTTAAGGCTGTCTTTGTCCAATCCACAAGAACCTTGGCAGACCGGATCATGGAACTCATTGCTCCACTAGCATGATTGGGGATGTGACAATGGCCACTCGCTCTACTCCCGGTTATATCCCATTGCTCTTGGACCAATGTTCCTACCTTCAACGCATTGTTTTTGTTTCAAATGTATCACAATGAAAGATCGAACCCAAAGTTGGTTGAAGACCTTGGGGTACATCCGAGTTCTCGGTTTGATTCTTGGGGTCAACCATTTTGAGAAGCCACCGCAATTGTCAGTAGTTAAGCCATCGGATTTACAAGACCTTGCTGGGTGAGACAAGTGGTATGCGATCCAAATTGGTGTAAAATTGCGGAACCAAGAAAGACTTCTACACCGTTGGTGACAATCATCCGCTCACTGGCACAATTTCAGGTTGTATCCGCCATTCCAAATGCAGCACTTAGAATGTTTAGTGTTCCAGGTACTCCATGTACTCTTCAGGCGTCAGGTGTTCGACGATCACATTCAAATGCGATTCTGAAATTGCCATCCAAACACTGTGGAGGGTAGATATGGATTACCGGCGAAGATGAACACAAAGAGGTCCTTCGATAAAAACATTATATTATATTATATATATATATACAATATGTATATAAATATAGATATATTCATTAATTAAATCATATAGTGTATGATATCCCCAGGTAATTGCGCAAAGGTCATCGAAATTCAGAGGTCGAATGCGCATGGCTAAGTTCTGCATCCACGGATCCAGTCAGCGAATTCTTTGTCAAAAGTGGACCCCTAGTGGTGCCCAAAGAAGAAAGTAACTTATATTCTATATGACTGTTGCCCAGGTAAAAATTGCCGCCAGCCAGTTGTCTCTGGTATTGCATGTCAAAAAATCCATGAAATACCCATTTAATCTAGAGTGATATGACATTTTCATTGCTTATAGCTGCCATGTCTTGTCTGTAAAATCACGATTCACCCGTTGTCATTGGTCGATGTACCGATATAGTCACCATCCTATGCTAGATGTGGTTACATTGGTCGATGCTCGCCTCTCAACATCCCCTTTTTTTTCGGGAGGATCGTCCCATCATCGTGGAAATTCACAGCTTGTACCCTCTGGTAAACTAACAGTTTGCTATTGAAAATTGCCATTGAAATAGTGGATTTACCCAGCTACAACATGGTGGATCTTTCCATAGTTCTAGCTCCAAGTTACCCAAATTCAGAAAATTTACATAGACCATGAATAGTTATGTCACAGTTTACCATTCCGGGTATCTGGTGATACTCCTCTTGGCTCAAGAGCCCCGCTTTTTTTCGATCCACTCCGAACTATGGCATGGGTTGATCATCCTCCCTACAAACCATATGGAGGTGTCCTAAGTCATAGGGCTACCTCCATTTCTCGTCCATTTATAGATGGAATCTCTTGGAATTTCATCCAAATGGTGGTTGCTATATAACCTAGTTATCATCCATTTTTATATAGGTCGGATTTTCCCTTAGAAATAAACCATCTAGAAATTTTGGGGTACCCCCATGACTATGGAAACCTCCATATAGGGTATCATATGTTCTGATATACTAATGGTATGTACTAATGGTTAATGAATATCAATGGTCAATGAAACCACCAGATCAACTCCCATCATTTTGGCTACGTTACTACGTTGTGAGGTCGCCATCTGAGAAATGCCCCAGTTTCTGGGCATCCATCCACATGGATGCGCGGCTAATTAGTGGTGCCCCAGTTCGGAATCGCCAAGTTGGTGAACATAACTCCAATGATCGTTGAGTTTATGTATATATATATATATATAGAGATATCAGTTAAGTTATATGATATATTATAAACCCATATATATATATGATATATTATAAACCCATATATATATGATATATATATATATATACATATGATATATATATATATACATATGATATATATATATAAATGATATATATATATATATGATATATATATATATATGAAAAATATATATATATATATTGGATATATCAGATATATAAATATGATATATATATATGATATATATATATGATATATATATATCATATATATATATATATGATATATAAATATGATATATATATATATATGTATATCGAACTAGTTAATGGCAGGTGGAGGGGTATATACCAACTTAAAACTGGGGGCATCACGTTGTATGGCAATGGCACCCATTTCATGCTGCTTACACCTCCACATCAGATCCCCATCAGATTTGCGACCTATCCATTCTACCACCATTGGTGAAATCCGCATGCATCCAGAAGAACTACCCGGCCTGCTAAACATACAAAAAACTATGGAAAATCATCATTTTGTAGCTGGATAAATCAACTATTTCTATGACCATGTTCAATAGCTATGTTAAATTATCAGAGGGTATATAGGTGATACCCGTCAGAATCCTGTTGGAAATCCCATGATTTTCTTTTACCCTCCTGTAAACGTTTACATAGATGTGCAAAACCCACCATGAAAGTAGATCATATTGCTTGAGTTTCGTTACATCGTTTTTGTTGATTACCCTCTGGTAAACTAACATAACTATGGAAAATCACTAGTTTCAATGGGTAAATCCACCATAAATGGCCATTTTCAATAGCTATGTTAAATTACCAGAGGGTAACCCAAGTTATGAAAAAAACACAGCCTTCTTCCGAAAGGTCGAGTTGCATCGATGCCCCGAATGCTGGCTGACGACCTGACGGCTGTGAGCAGCCCAAGAACCCGGATCTGACGCTGGAGTTTGGGAAAAAACAACGCAGGGCAAATCTGAAGAATCTCTTGAACATAGTGATAAAAAATCTTGATTATCTGAATTTCCATTCGCTCGCTTCTGAGTCTTGCTCGTGCGTTAGATTGCATTGAATTTCTAACCCTGAAAATCCGGGAGGTATGTCCCTGAAAGGTTAGATTGGCAGGCTGCACTGTACAGTGATGTCATCCAGTCCGTCTCCGCCTTCGAGAGGGCTGGGCCGTGAAACGTGCCATGCTGGGCGAGGCGGTGCCTCAAGCCCTTAAGCGTGGCAACAATCAACGCACGGCACAGCAAAGTGGGGTATTCTTTGGCTGCTGCCGTGCGGAATGATCCATCAGATTGGCGTCCACGAAGAGGATTCGAAGGCCGCAGCAGCAACGGGTCGATGTTCTCCCGCAGCGCCTGGTTCACAACCTCCGGCGGCCCAAGGTTCAAAGCTCGCAGTGTGGTGGGTTTAACTCCCACACTGCCGAACTGCCATTGCTCAATGTGGTGCGGCCAAGCTCCTGGAAGCTGCATGATCCAGTCGCGATGACATTGTGTTCGCCACACAGAGGCTCGCTGTTCATCTGGATGTTCCGTGGGGTGCTCCATGATCGATCCGGCGCCCGCAAGCACCAAGGTCACCTCAGCAATGAGGGAATGCATAAGCAGTCGGGAGCCAACCATCGTCTGGTGAAGTTCACGGTGTGAACGATCATGCAACAACCAAGGTAGGTCAAAAGAACGCAATGGACGAGGGTGACGTTCTCCTTCCAACACCAAATGTCTGGCTGCACTGAAAGTCTCACACGGTGGACCCGTGAGGCCAGCAGCAAAGTGACGCTTCTGGATGATCTTGAGCATGCGCGCAAAAACGGGTCCACGGTCCAGATTACCAAGCTCTGCATCGATTGCGGTGTCGACTGATAAAATGCGCACGGCATACCCCGGGAGGATTCCGTGACAGCATTCACACCAGAAATGACAGTCTCCTCGGCGACGCCGACCACTGAAAAGATGTAAAATCCAAATGGTGGGTACGCCATTCTCAATCGAAATAGGAACAGCTTGTGAAGGCGGCACATGCGCAGCGCTCAATAGAACATGTTGAAGACACTGATGTTGCATATGAACAGGATCAAGTAGAGGTTCGAAGTCTCGCAAAGAGCATCCATGGTCGGCACGTTCATCTATGCTCTGAGGTTGATGAGCCTGCATAATGCGAAAGTGCCAATCCAGTAATCGACCAATGGGGGCATCAAACACAATACTCTGAATTTCCTGTTTGACATGTCGAAAAACCTCAAGCGTCAGATGCTGAAATCTGCGAAAATGTAAGGCTTCACGACACCATAGGTAAAGCGCCCATTCCTGTTCAGCATTGCTCGTCAGGGAGGTGAGTGCAAACAAGAGTCGATCAATCTCAAGGCAGCCTTCGGGCTTCCATGACATGAGGAGTCGGTCAGCTTGTGCAAACACATTTTGCCGTACCTGAAGGTTCAGGTGTGGTGGCAATTCTTCCAAGTCCCACGCTCGCTGCAAAGCCGCTTCAGCATCTGCCCTGGTAGCGAACTGGTTTTCAATTGGTAAGGAGCATGGCATAGGAACTGCTTGCGCAGGTAGGCGAGCAAAACCACGCAAGTCATCAGGCACCTCAACCACGTGTGCCTCTGTCAAGGGCGCGAATCTCCATGTCATCTGGGCATAACAACCATCTGGATTGGCCCTAGAAAGGCGAAGGTGTTGCTGCAGACGAGCCGAAGACCAAAAGCAGCGTCGGCATGCTAAGCAGGTGTCGGAAAAGACGAATTTCCGTTCATCTGATATGATCTGGTGAGCTGTCCACAGATGGGCTTGCAGCTTCTGTTTGGTGTCGAACTGCGCAACACACCAATCACATGCAAACCTCGCATCATCTGGAATGGAAGACGGTGTTCCGGCATCTTCAAAGACCACACCACCCTCTGCCAAGGTTGTACGCAACTGCTTATGGAGGGCCACAATGTCGCCAATAACATGGAACTGCAAAATACAGCGGTGATAAAGCCGCCGCACTCGCTGAGGTCCATGAACACTCTGGGCAGAAAACCAATCCAAAATGCGTTCAACTGAACCGTTGTGAATGTCTGGAGGACAAAATGAAGCATCCATTCTCGCAAGCCAGGCCAGAGCTTGGCGCAGGGCTGCAAACCAGCTCTGGGGTTGATGAGCTACCGAAGTCACAAAGTCGACAACCAGGGACGGCGCAGACTTGATGCAGTGAAATGCGTACAAAAGCCGAGCTTTCGCCAATCTCAGAGACAAAGGCGGCAACTTCCAAAGACACTGCAGTTCAAAATCTGTATGTTGGTTCGGTGTCCAGCATCCGTCATTGATGATCGACCTTTGCCATGACATGATACTCGCATGTAGACTGTGGTACAACCGGTGAGGTAGCAAATCCCAATTTCCAGCACCATGCAATATGACTGGAACAATGAGACATTCGAACAACTTCAACCTGGTGCCAATCGCAACGTGGCGGTTGCGAAGAATGGATTTACCGACTTGACGCATTGCTTGAATGGCCTTCGTGCGTCTGTGAGCAACTTCACGCTGTAGGGTGCAATCGGCTGCAAAGATAGTGCCCAAATGCTCATAGGACGCAACACATTGCAGCTGCATGTGCAATGGAGGAATATCCAGTTTGCCAAGCCGTTCGACAAAGAGAGAATGCCGGTGGGCTGGCGCCGAATTCTCTCGAAATGAGACCACTGCTTCCGTTTTCTTGGCCTTGAAATTCAAAGAAAGACCAAATTGCAAGAAAACGTCGTGAGTGATATGGACAACCTCTGCAAGCGTAGTTTCCAAAAGATTGCAACTGGCTACAACCACCGGCACCGCAACGTCGTCGACCCATGCAACTGGTGGAGCAATCATCCCAAGTTCGTGAAAGCCATGCTGCAACGTAGGGTGGGCTTCCAACTTGCAATGCAGGTCACGAAGAACATGAGTCATCATCGCATTGAACACAATGTCGGCCAGGGGACTGCCGGGGCGGCTCCCACGAGCCGTGCTGAATGCATCATCAGTGCCTGGAAGCCCAAACCACGTACTGAGATGTGCGTCTTGAAGAAGACGACGATCTGCTTCTGCAACATCAGCATGAAACGACGACGACGTCTGCTCAAACATCTGACACAAAGCATCGGGGTCACAACCTGCATCACGCAAAATTGTTCTGAGATGTGGGGGCAAAGTCTGCGCAGGACCGAACAACACTTGTCTGATCATGCTGTGAAATGCACTTTTCACATCCAGAAACAGTACCGCTGAAGCAAGCTTGCGGTCACGCGTCTTTGCATGGAAGGATCTCAAATAATGGGTGGCAAACACGGTTGAACATGTTGGGAATCCTCCCATTTGAAGGGGCGCTTTCCACTTGATAAGTGCCGGCAAGAACCTGGTATGCAAAAGAGAGTGCGCCAGTTTCCCAAGCACGTCAATGAGCATTATGCCCCTCATGTTCGACACCTCACGGCTGTTGCTCTTCTTGGAAATGGAGAGGAGAATTCCTCCTTTAAATTGTACTGGCTCGGTTCCCGTCAACCACATCTTCATAAACAGCTGTGAAACAACCTCAGAAATCTGAGGGCCAGCATCTCGCAGGCAACCTGGAGTAATTCCATCGATGCCAGGAGCTTTCTGTGCAGTCAAACGTTGAAGGGCATTTTCAACGTCAAGCCTGGATGGCATTTGTTTCAGGGATGAGACCAGAGGCTGGTCTACACGTAAGTCAAACTGGGATGAATGGCACTGTTGCAATAAGTCTTGATAGGAAGTCGGGACGCCAGCCTCAAGCTCACAGTAATGGTCAGCTTGCTGAGCAACTGTAGGTCCTGCGCACCGAATGTTGCTTTTGCGACGGTTTTTGGCTCTTGGCAACAAGGGTTTGATCGCGTCCCAGATTCTGTGAATGCCTTTCTCAGCGATCATGCCAGTGTGCTCAGCAAGGTCATCAAAAAACCGCCGATCATCTTGTCGTACGGCATAACAGACACGCAACGTGGCCAAACGGTACTTCTCAGCGGCAATGGCGCTGGCAAGATCACAATGGAAAGTGCTGCTCGATGTATTAGCCGATCCACTGGTAAATGATCGCCATCCATTGAAACAAAGCCGAAGTCGCACTGCTCGAGAGTCAGCCTTTGCAGCCTGGAGTGTGCGCAGGGCTCGCCTCTTGTGTGTGATCAGCTCACAAGTCTCCTCCGAAAGGTGCTTCTTGCGCAAGCGTCTCATGGGTTGCGACATAAGTTGCCGCTTCAGATGAAGCTGTAACCGTGCTGCGTGTGTGTGCACGTCCCAGTCCCATGAAAACCGTGGCTGCTCAGCTGGTAATGGCAAAGTGGCACTTCTGGCAGGAGCTGGACGTGTCATCGGAAGCCACACATCCGCACACACACATTGATGATCACGCCGTGCAATGGAGAGGTCAATGTCATCTGAAACCCACGTGCGCAAGTTTGCCAGGGGCACATTGTCGGAAACTCCAATAAAGTCCAAGCGTCCTTGCGATCCTTCTGCATGCGTCCATGTATCATGCTCTCCATGATGGGACTCGACAAACGTCTGTGGCAGAATCAGGCTGTGAGCAACAAGCCAGTCATGGAAGGCTGCACCACGAATGGTTTCTTGTTCAGCACCAAAACCTCCAACAGCTTTCGATGTGATTGAACCAAGGCGCCCATTGGAGTCGCACAAAATGGCACATGTCCAAGTTCGGTATTGTCCTGGAAAGAGGGCACTGGTAGAAGACCACCACTGCTGGATCTCCTGCTCATCGTCGCAGCAAGGCGCATGCAAGACTATGAACAACAGTGCCAAGCGAGGATGTCGTAGTCGAACAAAGAGCCGTCGCTCATCACCATAAAGGATGCGTAAGTGCTCATGGGTAATATGTAAAGGCTCACCTTGGGTTGGTATGACCTGGGCGATCCACAACTGGATACCTCCATGACCACGCGATGTCGCTTTGGCAGATAAAACATGGTACCCCTCAAAGAACTCATGCCCAACCTTGCGACACCGGGTTTCTTGGAGTCCAGCACAGTGAATTTTGGCATCACGAAATTGGGAAGCAAGGTGTTCTGCTCTGGCTCCTAAAAAGGAGGAAGCTGCTTCATGTTGTGGAAACAAAGTGAGCACATTTGCTGTCGCCAGACGCAGACAAAGGGAGTCGGAGGGAACTTCTTCTGCTGGTCGTTCAGTCTTGCGAAGTTCAAATGGTTGCACGTCTAGCACAGGCTGATGAGCAAGAGGTGCACCGGTGTTGAAGCGCCATTGCAATCCATGGAGGACGGGTGCATCAGCATCACCTCGCAAAGATTTCTCGTACAGCCAGAGCCACTGGAGGACAACTAAGGCAGACTCATCACCGCCGCAACGTTGAACCAATGCACAAATGTCGGTGGTAACGTAGTTTTGATCAATGGCACCATAGGCTACTGCATCAGCCAAATCGTTCCACGGATGTTCAGAGTGACCTTGTACATGACTCCATGCAAGTTCGACAAAGGAGATCTGCTCTAACCACAGCGTCAGCGAACGAACAATGGGTATCAGATCGTAGTTCAGGGCTGACGCACATCGACCTTGAGCAGCTGCACCTGCGTAGACATTGTCGAACAGGAAGCCGATCTTTGTGTACGCAAAGCCGAGATTGAGAACAAGATGGCACGCCCAATGAACTGCAAGGGTGACGGCCGTCACTTCTGCTCTGGGTGCAGAAGGCGTGGAGAAGCACCAAGATGTGAGATAACCACCAAAGCATGGGCCGTCATATGTGTACACAATCAGGACAACTCCTGAAGCAGCCGTATGTCGAGAGCGTCGAAAGGCTCCGTCCGTGTAGAATTCAAAAGCAAGTGGCACTTCATTGGTCCAAAGGGGCATGCCGTGAAGCGCATTGCTTGTAGCTTGAGTGCATCGCACACCAGCCAGGTCGTACTGCACTGCCGGAGGACCAAATTCATAGAGACGCTGTCGAAGAGCATCAATCAACGAGCAGTCAACATAGGTCCACATCGGTGGCGGCACCATATCTTCAAGACGAAGAGGGTGTCGAACTGCAGCCTCTACTTCGTGCGAGACCTCTCCAGCAACAGAATGGCCGACTGTGTTGTCCAGCGTCTTTGAATGTGGCTGTGTGTCAGTGCCATATACCTCAGCATGTGGATACGCCTGCTGTGTGATGGTCGCAATGGGTCCATCTTGGCAGGAAGCCGTATTGACATCTACAGCTTCTAGCGCAACAATAGGGGTCACAGCAGGCGACTGAAAACAGTCATCCGCTTTGCTGAGAATTTCGATCAGCATGTTGCTCTGCCACTGCAAGGGTTCTGATCCTTGATGAATTGTGTGAAGGCGGGCACGCAGCTGAACAAGATGAAGGCCAGAAACTGGAGCCATGGAGACCCGATCTGAACTTAAAATAGGCCAGGAGGGAGTTGTCGTAGTGGTAGTATCGACTGCGACCGTGAAGCACATGCCATGGCGCACAGGAAACAAATTTCCTGCCGTGAGATCCGTATGACCAAACGAAGTGGAGCAATGGGCAGTCATAGTTATCGGTGGACATTGGAACTCAACTACAGCAACGTGCAGTAGCGCCAAGTGATCAATGGCGTTGGGAACCACCACAGCAATCTGTCCTGGCTGCCATGGGTCTGTGATTGAATCCATCACTGTCACAACGACCGATTTGTGAAGCGGACCAGGCTGCTGGAGTAGGATCACATGAAACTGCGCCTCTGCGTTGGCTCCAAGTGGGGCAGGATGCACCACATGAATCTCAAACGGACTGTCAGCTAGAAACCAATCATGCCACGCTTGAACAATGTGGGCTGGCCATGTATCCAATTGAGCATCCAAGGTGATCAGGCGATAATCATCAGACCAAGGACGGCGCAAATGATCAGAATACCATACGGCAGCACGGATTTGGAGGCCGAAAGGTTGGTTCGCATGATTGAAAAAGAAACTCCATACGTCATGTAGAGTGGTCCAGGTCGTGGGCCACATTGGGGCAATCAGTGGCTGCTGTGGCGCATTTGAGGCGCATGCAGCAATTCTCTGTGGAATCTGATGATGCTCATCTTCCAAACGATCACTGGGTTCACCCTCAGAGACTACTTCTCGCTGACGTCGTGCTCGTTGCCATCGCCGTGAAGTTTGCATCAAAGATCTTCCAGACACAGGCATCAATGGACGCGGCACATAAGGATGCATCGAGCTCGCAGCATGAGGATCTCCCTGGCATTGAGCAGGCTGGATATGCATTTCAATGCTGGCTGCTGAAGGGAGATCATGCCGGATGAATTGTTCCAATGGAATGCGTCCAACTCGTGCAGAACATCGCTGCAACCCACAAATTGGATTCAACTCCATGATATTCACCATGTCATCAGTGCAGAGCCAGCGTGGCAAAGAAAGTGCACGTTGAAGAAGTCGATCTTTGGTGTCTTCATGAAAAATCACAGAAACAACGCCTGCAATGACTGGTTCGGCTGGCAGTTGTTCAATCATGATGTGCACCGTGTCAATCTTCATCATGTCATGCGGCGGTCGCGCATGAACCACTCCAATCTGAGTCGGAGCATCTTGCTGCATACGATCTTGCCATGGGTCCAGCATAGAGGGTAGCCAGTCATTTTCACATCGACCAAGGCGCACAATACGTGGTTGAGCACATTGCCGAAAAGTTTGATGATTGATGAACCACGTCCAGACGTAAAGCACTGAACCTTCTTCCTCAACCTCAATGACTGCACTGTCATAGAAGGAGTCAGCCAAGCTAGCCCGCCAACGAGAGTCGTCAGGAGAGCCTGCAGGCAGTGCAAATTGAGGTGCTGCTCGACACTCATCATCGGGCAAAGGAACCGAAGTCATGTGCTGCATGAATGAAGCGCCATCAGTTTCAGCATCAACTTGTTGCGGCAGAATGGTAACACGTAGGTGGTCACCAGGTTGAGTCTGCAGGGCTTCTTGTTGAGGAACACGTTGGCTGTTCACATGCAAATGACAAATCCGCTGTGCGCAAAATCGATTGGTACCCAGAATGTCCCAAACATCACTTTCAGAAGTAAACTCTTGAACAAGCGCTGCGAGATGCCAGGCTCGTCGGTGAACTTCATGCTCAAATAGTGCAGTGAGCAACACAGGCACTAAGGGGCTGTGTCCTTGCACCAATAGCAAGTGGATGGGTACTGGGTGCTCAAAATCTGGCAGGGGTCCAAAACGCACGAAATGCACCTGTGCAGCTTGAGTAGGATCCATGATGTCTGCCCACAAATCACAAATGTCATGGTACCACAATGTATGGTGTGCATCAAGGCTAAGCAATCGTGATTCAGCAGAGCGTTGATAACGTCCATGATGCAAGTACCAAGTGGTAACTGTCAGCTCCAAGGACGCGTCTTCCGCAGAGGAGGTGAGAAACTCTGCGAACGCCATACGCATCGGCAGCATCCAATGTCGCTCACTGGCCTGTGGAGGCCGAGCAAAGGCTGAAGCGACCTCAAAACTGGAGTGATGAGTGGCTGCCAGACTGGAAAATATGGCACTGCAAGCTTTTGGTTGACGATGACCTCGCTCGTAAACAGCATCCAAACATGTTGCTTTTGGAGACACTCCATCTTGAAACTGCGAAGCAAGCATAGAGGAGGGTTCAACACCGCTTCTGGAGACAGCAACTGACTGAAATAGAGAAGATCCATCTTGATCAGGAAATGCGCTACCTGAACCAGCGGTCTCAAAATTCGTTCTGCGTCTTTTGGAGGGACCTTCATCTGGATGTTGAAGGCATTCGGTGTGACCCTCTCTGCGGATGACAACCCGGATATAAGCACCATGCCGAAGTTCACGACTCAGCAACTCGTCTGGTGGCCAAATCACGTCATTGCAAAACAGTCGACAGGCATCAGGATATTGAACGCAAGGATTGTGCAGGTTCAAAGCTGCAAAAACTTCATCACGATGAAGGCGTTGTGGCAGCAAACGTACCCGTCGATAGTAGCTGCTTTGATGTCCTGTGCGAGTCTGATATACAATGTCGACCAAGACCAAACGGTCGGGAGAACCACTAGGCACATCGCCGACCCGTTGGAGAATCACTGCTTCCTCAGCATCATGTTGGTCAACCAGTTGAACTGGAATGTAATGATGACCAACAGCAATATCTCGATGCAAACCAATGGAGTGCAAAATGTCAAACAGCAGAACGTTGTAGGTACTCCATCGAACAAAGCAATGATGCGGGGGCTGATGAAGACCAAAGACTTGCACTCCTTGCAGATCTTCCTCATCAAAGCTGGAGCTGGTGACAGCGGGACTTTCTTCAGCCACATCTTCGTGATGTACATCATCTGCAGCAACATCAGAAACGATCACACCTTGGTCATGGGGCGCGACACTCGCAGAAGAAGATGGCAACGAAGCGCCAGCAAGATCCTGGAAGACCGCAACAAAGGAGTGGCCATTTGCCATGATGTGCGTGGGTTGGGTGGTGACCGGGACAACAACGCCGCCATGAAAAAGATCACAGGCATGAGTCTGAACCAGTTCACTTGCACCAACTCCGTCCAAAATCTGCCAGCCACTAACATGTCTGGGGTAGGAAGCAGCCCAGATGTAGTGCATGTCATCTTCACTGCCAGGTGGATATACAGTCACCAGACCACCACATTCATCGTGCGCACCCTGTGTCAGGATGACATCTGCATGAATGGCAACTGTGGAAGGACGTGATCGTACTCTTGGAAATGCAACCGCAACGTTCAAAGGCTCGTCATTGTGCAACTGGTCACGCCATGTATGCAAAATGAAAGCATGCCAAAGACGAGGATCATCTGGAAGTCGCACAACTCTAGGAACTTTCCAACAGCGCTGATGGACGTGATGAAGAAAACAAGTACGCAATGAATATTGTTCTCCTGATTGTAGTCGAATGTGATCATCACGCCAAAGCTGTTGGAGGTGGTGGATATATCCAGCCAAGTCATTGGGCAATCGCCGATCCAGAAGATGAGATGCAGGGGCGGAAGATGACGAGCCGGGTGTGGAACTCCCAGCGGCTCCTGTGGTGGTCTGTCTCCCATAGACATATTGAGGAACCTCAGCTGCACCATCAACTGGATCAAGATCATTCAGGCAAGTCCTTTCAGGGTGGAACTTCTGAATTGCGTCTTTCCCCAGAAAGACTTGGACTTGCTCATCAAAACTGACACGTTTGGATCGAGTACGCATTCTCTTCGAAGAGGGAAATGCAAAGTTCGTGACAACGATGTGGCCGGGCTCACCCAACTCCAGCGCTAAATCAGCTGCCTGATCAATTGCACTCCACGGGGCAAGGAAAGATGGCTCCTCCAAAATCGAGTGTCCCCAATGAAGATCAATGGCATGGGGTTCAAGAACCTGAAACGGCCTCTGATGTGTGTACAATTCTGTCACTTCACATCGGCCTTCGCAAAAGGCTGCAAGGATGGTGAGGCATTGTGTCCACCATCGTCGTCCTTTGTGCGTGGACGTTTCGTTTTGGGCTCCAATTTCTCCGCAGACTCGGAGAGGACCGTGAGGCTCGACACCACTTGATCCAGACCCTCTTGGATTTTCATGGCGTTCTCGTCCTTTGGGACCTCCGGTTCTTCGAAGGCTTCCGACTCTTCCATCTCGTCGTCTGTAACATAGTGAACCCCATCCTCCGCAGTGGCATCCGCACGTTTCTTGGCCAAGTCGACACGTCTCTGTGCTTTTCGAAGAGTCGAAGTGGCTTCTTGCATTCGCTTCTGGAACGCTACCTCGGATGCCTGAAACTGGGAGGTGTATTCTTTCCATTTGATGACGGACTGTTGCAAGAAGGTGCGCCATTGCGCCCAAAGTTGCATACGGCTGCTTTCTACCTCGACCAATGCCTCTTTGGCCTTGCCATGGGCACGGACAGCAGCTAGGAGATTGTTCGTGCTCTCCTTGTCGTCCTTCTTCTTTTCTGTCTGCACAAGAGTTTGAAACTCTGGCGACAAATTCTCTTCCTTTTTTGCTGCTTTCATGATCTTGTTCAACTTCTGTTGTGCACTGAGAGCTGCCTTGTAGTCCTCTGGGTCCAAGGATTCCGGAGGTGCCTGTTGAGGCAAAGGCATGGCCATAGTGTCCACAGGTGGCGTCATGAATTGCATTGATTGCATAGCAGGCATCTGAGCAGGCATCCAAGGAACTCCTTGAGGAAGCTGAGGGTTCATCAACAGTGGCGGCGGTGGCGGCGGAGGGGCAGCCATGGATGGCAAAGCAAGTCCTTTGCCAGTTCCCTTGGGGTCTTGAGCATATGCTGTCGACCATGGACCACCTGAATTGGCCCACAGAGGATGAATCTCCTGCGTAGTTGTTGCGTCGCTCTGCCATGCTTGTTGCTTTCTGCGCGACTTCGGTCGAGTACGCTGCCGCGGGCTTTTTGCACGCTGGTTCCATGAAGTCTGTCCCCGCGATGAGGCCGGCTCGATGGCACAAACGTCCCAACTGCCACCACAAAGGTCGCAAAACCACGCGTTGGGAGAACGCATCTTGCGGCACGTGCCACATAGCCAACCTGAACTGGAGGAAGCGGCCATCTCGGTTGCTATCAGGCGAAGGAAATGCCAGTCCTTCGAATGGTGTGCTTGGAGCGTAGCAAAAACCAAACTCAGCTTCTTCGAGCTGAGCTTGACCAAGCCACGACGGTGCAAGTGCCACGCACGTCGGGCAGCAGCACGACGTCGTCGGAGGGCACGCCTGACGGTGAGAGATGCCGTCGCACTCGACAGTGAGGATCAGAGCAACAAAGACCAGGAAGAAATGCCTCAATGAGGACATACACAAGGGTGTAGCCAGCACTGTGCAGCACAAAACCCAGCCGTAGGAGATTAAGGTCACCTGGTGGTAGACAATGAGGAACACCTGGCAGAAGAGCTCGGAGTCCAAGCACTGCTAGCCACCAGAGACAGGCGCCAATTGCGCCCGCGGGTAAGCGACGAACCCGCTAAGGCAACCGGTAAGGTCAGGGACGGGGGGCACCCTGCCTTAAGCCTTGATTATCTGAAACATGTTTAGAATTTTGTCTATCTGATTGTTGGAGATACAAATTACAAATCATGGATTTGCTAAAATATCACAGAAGTTACCTGGCGCCAGTTGTAACTGGAAGGGCAACGTACGCTGACATCTCCAGAGATGCCAGAGATCTCTGACACACCATTAACCACATGGTAACTCTCTGGTAATTTAAAAATGGTTAGCGCGGACAATTCGGGCGTGTCCCCGAGAGTGATAGCTCGGCGTGAGCAGAGCTGATCACACAGACAAAGGGTCCAACAGACAGCTTTGTACACACATCACAGGGGGTAGGTGAGTTTGCACCTACCCGCGGCCGTGGTATTTCTGCAGGCTGCAGACCAACAGGGAGGCAAAGCATATGTCAGCTATGCCCACCAATCCATTAACTAACCAGGAGTCAGCACTTCATTTGTCTAGATGCCAACTTGGTTGAAGCAAAACAGGGTTGGAGCATGAACTAAGAAAAAGGAGAAAAGCGATGCTGCACAAACTTCTCTCGTTGCCTGGGTAAAAAACACAAGTCTGCGCGACCCAGGCGCCTCACGAAATTGGCACCTGCAGTGTGAAGGATCAGCACTGCTTGCAGGGCCGACTCAAGCCACTTGTCTCAGGCCGCTAATTCTGTCTCAAAGGCCAGGCAGTGGCAACAGACTGAGGGCGTTGGCTTCCAAGCATTTGAAGAACCGACATAAGCAGGTTGAAAAACGTCTTCTCAGCCACGGCTCAGCACCAAGCATGTGAAAAGCCAGCTCTAGGCATTGACAACACAGTTTTCACAAGCACGGCCAGCTACCAAACACTTGAAGTACCATCATGGCGCAGTGTTGAAGTAGTCTGCTCAACCGCTGCCAGCCGACAAAGATGCCAATCGCCAGCCCCGGGCATGGGCAGAGTAATTTGCACAAGCACAGCCAGCCATCAAACACTTGAGGTACCATCATGGTATAGCGTTGGTGTAATCTGCTCAACCGCTGCCCGTCCACAAAGATGTCAATCGCCAACTCCGGGCATGGACACAGTAATTTGCACAAACAAGTTCAGTTGCCAAACGTGTGAAGCACCTTCATTGCGATGGAGCATGGCAGACTCAAGCATGCACGGTCTTCGCCCAAGAGAACATCAGGAATAGGGTGCCAGGCGCTTCGAGCACCAGAACGACCAAACTCCATGGCAAACTAACCGGATGAAACTACTCCCAGGGATCTGCCGACTCAGCCACACTAACTGGAAAGTCCTGGGCCCGTGGCTAATTTAAAAATGGTTAATCCATATATATGGATAATCTATGGTTAATGGTTAATAGTTACTCTCTGGTAAGCATACAAAAAAAATACCCCATTTATAGTTGATTTACCTATTCAAAATGGTGATTTTCTATAGTTATGTAACAGTTTACCAGAGGGTAACCATCATGAAAACCACCATGAACATTCCACCATTCACCATTATTAACCAGCCATGAATTCCAACCATTTCTAGTCTGCAGGTGTCTTTGGTTCCAACCTTTTTGTAGCAAAGTTTGGTTCGCAAAGTTCTGGAACCGACGCTTCAGCGTCGCTGTGATCAACCTATGACTGAGATTTTTCAGTTCACCCGCGAACTAACAGATCTGGAGTGATTAGGCCAGAAATACCAGTTATAACTACTAACAAAACCCCATTTATAGAATGTATTTCATCCCAGTGAAATAACCAGTTGTAACTAATAAATGGTCATCACTGTGGTAAGTAGAAGCCACTACTTACTGGTGGTTAGCCGTACCTTCTCAAGTCTCTGGATCCAATGATCCTGCAATAATTGATTGACGAGAGTAGCACTGCCCAACAATACAGGCTCAACAAGCCTTTATTGAGGGCTGATTGGGGTTACTAATCCTTCAAACTGGTGCAAACGTCTTGTTTTTCCTTACTGCCAGGAAGCAACAAATCTAAGCCGTCAAATGAACAATTGAATCTGGTTGGTGGTTTCATCCCCTCTGAAAAATATGAAAGTCAGTTGGGATGATGACATTCCCAATATATGGGAAAATAATCCAAATATTCCAAACCACCACCCAGGATTATTCTAAAACCCTGGATGAGAGCGGTTTATAAAAAGTGGGCCCACATTTTGAAAAGTGGTGCTGGTGCAGTGAATCCGATCAGCCTCAGTGGAGACAGTTTATACCAACCAATATGTCCAATGCCCTTTGGTAACTGACATAGTTATGGAAAATCACCATTTTGTAGCTGGGTAAATCAACTCTAAATGGGCCATTTTCAATAGCTATTTTGACAGACCAGAGGGTGTTTTTTCATTTTTCATAGGTCAAGCATCATGAATCATCTACAAATTATGAAGATGTTCCGAAGCTATGCTAGTTTACTAGAGGGTAATTTCTGTAGCCCAACTGGGGATGGTGTTTAGTGTTGGGGTCTTAAATGGTTTTGTTGCTACCAGGCGCCAAATGATTCAAACACACAAATTACTAAATGGATCGTCAAACCACCCGCGACAGGAGAATAATGGATCGTCACCAGTCTTCGAAAGATGGAGAACGATAGTGGAGGACAAACATCGCCGGAACCGACGATTGCCAACATATACCCTCTGGTAATTTAACATAGCTATAGAGAATCACCATTTTTAATAGGCAAACCATCTATTTCTATGGACCATTTTCCATAGCTTTTTGTCTGTTTCTATGGACCATTTTCCATAGCTTTTTGTCTGTTTACCAGAGGGTATCCAAACATGTCATGTGGACAAGCACCGTCCACATGGAGATATCATGCAGGTTTCCAGTGAAAGTCACAGAAATTCATAGTTCGAACAATGGCTGCATAAGGGAAATGCACACGTGGAACATGGTGATAAAGTTCATCATCATCATCATCATCTTCTTCTTCTTCTTCATCTATATTTATAACTACCCAATAATATACTCTATAATTGGTCATCCGCAATTCTATAGTAATAACATGAAATAAATTCATCAAAATTGCTGGATAATCATCCTCCTCCCCAGGCTCCCCTTTCTCGACCCCCTTTCTTATGAGCTCCCCGCCTGCGAAAGAGTGGCTCGCTGCGGTCAGCGCCGCCTATCGGGGCGACAAAGTGGGAAGTATTCTTTGTAGTACACTATAGACCTATAGTATTCATGGACTACCCTCTGCTAAACTAAGACAACTATGGAAAATCACCACAACTATGCATGGATTTATCATGGATGTATTATGGATTTATGTGTTATATATCATGTTATAGACATTTATAGACGTCATTCAGCACGACGCGTACGCTGCACTAAGGACTGGCTGAATCCTCTGGTTGGACCACCAAGCCCTCTGAAGAATATGAGTCAGTTGGGATGATTTTCCATTCCCAACTGAATGGAAAGTCATAAAATTCATGTTTGAAACCACCCACCAGTTATCTCATTAACCATTATTAACCATTAATAACCATTATTAACCATTATTAATCAACCAGATATATGTTATTAAAGTCAGAATCCATTCCATGGTTCGAAAGCACCAACCAGTTATATAGTTATATCCTTTGCTTTCCATAGTCACTCTATTTCGGTTCAATCCCTATGAACTTGATGCTTATATCCCCGTTGTCTTGGTTTGTATCATCATTACACCAAACAATTCATCAAATCCCAGTAAGATCCGTTAAAGTTCTGTTAGATCACCATGAAACCCAAATGAAATCGGGACTGTAAATCCCGTAATACGAAGGTTTCAAGCTGGGAAAATCATCAATGGGGGATCTTCCAGCAAACCATGTGTATCATAAAACCATACCCAACCTGGTTATGTCAACAGTTTGCGAACTGGAAAATGGCTCATTTATAGTGAGTTGTCCCATTAAAAATGGTGGATCTTTCCATAGTTATGTTGAAGCCATGGCCCATTTAGTTCGTTGATTTACCGTTCTTAAAGATAGTGGATCTTTCCATCGTTTTTTGTATGTTTACCAGAGGGTAATAAACCCAAGCGAATCAACAGGGGATTCCACCGCCCTGCGCGTGGCTGTTGCTTAAGATTGCTTAAAACAAAACGCCCGTGATGAGCCGGCCGAGCCGGGATCCTTGGGTCACCCAGCTGGTTTTTCATCAGACAAGTTCTTGATCTAACCTCTTAGTGGATTCTACCATGGCTAATAAAATGGATTATCATGTTAACACTATACTTAGATCTACCATCAACCATGTTCACCAACTTAGCCATTTTTCTCACTAAGGCCCCACCGCACGCCATTTATGGCATCATTGATAGACATAGCCACGCCATCTATATGCCTTATATGACTTGTATGCCTTATGAATCAAATATTCTTCCGACATTCATCCAATATACACCATTTTTGTTGGTTAAACCACCATTTTTTATACTTGGAACTGCAGTTTCAGTGAGCCAAGATGAGCTGTTTGTGGATGTGTGTTCACCATAATTTGTTCGGGGCTCCATATCCAAACAATCATGGGGATTAACTCATCATGGTTCTACCCATCGTTATCCCATTATGATTCCCATGAAACCATAAATAAAACATTACAAAACAATATTAAACCATACATGTAACCTTAACTGCATCCCCAAGTTATGGCTTGTGCCTTAATATATATATATACATAGTTTACATGGGTTTATGAAGTTATTAAACCACACGATACCCATCAACATCCAACTGAATCCACCTGGCGGGCCCGGCGTTGGCGGACGACAAGCCACTGGGTCCTGCGGACGGTCGATGGGATATCTATCAATGTGGTGTCCTGCTATATATGGAGAGATATACTGGTTGGTAGTTTTAACCATCTTGAAAAATATGAAAATCAATTATCCATCAATTATCCATGACTTTTCCATCAGTTATACCAAATAATCCCATATTTGTGGATATATGATACCCTCTGGTAAACATACAAAAAACGAACTGGAAAGATCCACCATTTTGTAGCTGGGTAAATCCACTATTTCGACTGGGCCATGTTCCAGTTCGCTTTTTGTATGTTTACCAAAGGGTATATATGGTTGATATATATGGTTAACCACTATTAACCACTATTAACCATTACTAATCACCATTTTCCTATGGTTGTCCTTTTAGCTGGTTTACCATTTAGGGTATATGATGATATATACCATACATAGACGGTCA